TCCTTGGCCCGATGAAAGGGCGTGGGCAAGAGCCAGATGAGTGGTTTTGATGGGGGTCTGGGGACTTGAGACCTGACCCTACACCTTTGGTGACTAAGTGTAGTCCAGAGTGGGAGAGCAGGCTGGCCCCCACCATGTGCGTGGGACCCAGCTCCACCTAGGGCCAGCATATTGGGACTGTGTCCTCAGCTCCCAACCTGTTTTCCTTGACTGCTCTCACCTAGGGCAGGTGACTCCTCACTTGGCCCAAGCTTTCTACAGAAGGCCTTGGTTGGGCTGCTGTCCCAGGAGGAGCTTGGCAAGGTGACCACAGAGAATCTGATGGCTGTGTGTACCCTGGGGTCAGAAACCCCCACGCAGCCAAGAGAGGTACCTCATCAGAGCATGCTTGTCAGAGGGTCTGAGGAAGCTCCCAAATAGCCCAGTGGCAAAGCCCTCAACTCCTCATCCTCAGAGAGGGTTAGAAATTCCACTGCAAGCCAGGCTCGGTGGCTCAGCCTTTAATCCCGCGTCTTTGGGAGGCTGAGGTGAATGGATTGCCTGAGCCCGCGGGTTCGAGACCCGCCTGGGCAAACTGGCGAGACCTCATCTCTACAATAAATCAAAAAATGAACTGGGCGTGGTAGCGCGCACCTGTAGTTCCAGCTACTTGGAAGGCTGAGGTGGAAGGATTGCCGGAGTCCAGCAGGTCGAGGCTGCGGTGGCCAGGAGCGGTCACTGCACTCCGGTCATGACCACCACAGTCTCGACCTGCTGGTCTCAGATGATCCTTCCACCTCAGCCTTCCAAGTAGCTGGAACCACAGGTGTGTACCACCATGCCCGGGGTAATTTTTTGATTAATTGTAGAGACGAGGTCTCGCTAAGTCGCCCAGGCTAGCTCGAACCCCTGGACTCAGGCAATCCTCTTGTCTCCGCCTCCCAAAGCGCTACAGGCATGAGCCACTGCGCCTGACTTGAACCATGTATTTATTCTCATAGTTTATTACTTTCATATGAAAATGATTCTAATGAAAATATTAGTTTTAACTTTTTTTAGTGTTTTAACTTCACTAGTACTTTCAAGACCTTCACAGTATGAAATGTATACAGTAATAAATTTATTTTATCACAAATATCATAACATGTTAAGCGTATTCACAATGCATCTATTTTATTTTATTTTATTTTTTATTTTTTATTTTTTTTTGAGTTGGAGTCTCACTCTGTCGCCCAGACCGGAGTGCAGTGGCCGCTCCCGGCCAGCGCAGCCTCGACCTGCTGGGCTCCGGCGATCCTTCCGCCTCAGCCTTCTGAGTAGCCGGAATTACAGGCGTGCGCTACCACGCCCGGCTGATTTTTTTGATTTATTGTAGAGATGAGGTCTCACTGCCCAGGCGGGTCTCGAACCCGCGGCTCAGGCAATCCATTCACCTCAGCCTCCCAAAGGCGCGTGATTACAGGCTGAGCCACCAAGCCCAGCTTACAATATATCTATTTTAGAAATAAGAGGAGGGATAATTCAAATGTTATAAACTGAGTTGGACAATTATATTCTTTTGTTAATGACCATCAAGCCAGCTATAAAACTATTGAGAAAAAATGTGATCTGCAGTCACTGAGAAGTAACTGGCTGCTATTATAGATTCATGGTTTTATTGTTCAAGATTTAAATTAAAATCTGCAAGTATTTAATTTTACTGTCTAGAAACCTTAACATCCTTTACCATTATTTCCAAATATAAAACAGAGATGATTCATTTACCCATATGAGGTGTTCCAACATAGCCAACAATTCTAATCCCAAGACTCTGTCCATCCCTTTTAATGAGTTCAACGTTGTACGTTTCAAAAAGAGAATCATCCTAAAAGAAAAAACAAATTTAATCATACATGTTTAGTGATATAACTGTGGGCGCACAGTCAATGGTTTGTCAAGTCTTTTCTTAACACCTATGATAGGCAGAATTTTTTTTTTTTTTTTGAGTCGGAGTCTCACTCCATCACCCACGCTGGAGTGCCATGGCACACTCATGGCCACCCCAGCATCAACCTGCTGGCCTCCGGCGATCCTTCCGCCTCAGCCTACCAAGTGGCTGGAACTACAGGCGCGTGCTACCACGCTTAGTTAAGAATTTTTTTTTTTTTTTTTGAGTTGGAGTCTCACTCTGTCGCCCAGACTAGAGTGCAGTGG